TTAACCGTGCCGTGGTGCCTGGCACTAAACGCTGCCACCTGCCCTCACCTACCATTTTCATCTAAAAGTTGGTTGCCACACAACGTAATTTAATGTGATTATAACAATCTAGTGCAATTACCGCTGGGCGATGATTAGGCCAATGAAGACAATCGTCCTCGGCAGCTGTGAGTCACCGGCAGAAGTGGGCGGGGGGACAGCCATCCTTCCCCTGAGGACCCAGACCTGGGCCCTGCCCGCCCACCGCGGAGGTGCAGCGGGGCAAAGACCCGAGGTCCTGGGGGAGAGGGACGGCCAGGGCAGCTCGGAAACCCCTGGAGGGCCAAGGTGCAGGTCGGCACCGTACTGGAAGCCATTCGGCCAGGTGTTCATGTGCGAAGCAGAGGTGGAGACTGCTCCCAGACCGTCAAGTCCCATCTTTCTCCCTCCCAGCGCCAACACACAGGAAGAGGCGTTCCCAGTTTGTGCCTGCGTGTTCCCAGAAGCACCCTGCATCTTGGTCAGTTTTCTTCCCTAGAAAAAACATGTCCTGAAACCTGACTATCTCTGCTGCAGTCACTCCGGTTTTTATGGGTGTCATTTTAAGTATGGAGGAACAAAATTCTACAAAACATACCTACACGCTGGAAAAGCTCCTTAAGTATTTGCTTCTAAAAAATGACATCTCAATTTCACATAGCAATCTGACCTCTGACACAGCATGTGACACTGTGCTGCACAATTTTGTTCCACTGGAGAGCCTAAAAATCAGTGCTAAACCAATAAACCAGATTCGCATCCCTGTCAAGAGTTTTGATTCTCTCTCCATTTGTTACTGTTTCAACGGTCGACTTCACAACTAGCATTTTCCTAGTGGAGACAGCAGATGCCATTTCCCTCTCAAACATCCAGAAGCAAGAGAAGCCACTGTTAAATAGTTATTTGTGACACAACTACTATTCGTACAAGCAATTAACCACCTCATTTCCCTTGCTAGCAGTAGGATCAGGAAGGCAAACCGAGTCCAGTCACATCTGCAGTAGCCAGGGAGACAAATCCCCACTTGGGTTTCTGCTCTGCTGTTTCAATCCCTGTTACAAAACCAGTTTTCGATGATTCAAGGTATTGCAGCATCCCTGCTTCGGCGGCAGCACCACCTGAGGCTAACTCCTGCCTGAAAAAAACCCCTTGGGCCAAGAGATTATATGCAAATAGTCTTGCGTAGCTATGCAACACACGTAAGCCAGGCCCAGAAGAAGTTGCGCAACCTTGCAGGAGAGACAAGCCATCACGGCAGAAGCACTGGCACGTCCCACGTCTCAGCAGGATAAATGAGCCCGTGCGCAGCTCCGTGCTGCTGCTGCAGTGTTGTTTCTGGCAACCGAGCCAGCTGCTTTCACGCTGCAGTCAGGAACGCAGACGTGTGTAGACATTCATGATAGCGACAAGAAAAGTGCCAACGGACTTTTTATTTGCTTTGTCAAGAGTAAGACTTATGAGTTAGAGATGAGATTGTAAGCAGGACAAGCCAAACTCTTGAAGTATTTCATCAGTCTTGTTTGCGTGTTCCTGTGGCATACTGATTGCCCGGCCGGTGAGCAAACAAAAATTCAGGCAAGTCAGATTAGCCACAAACTTGCCTGAGCATATCGCTCCCCCAATCATCTACTGCAACAGTCTTGGATCTGGTGTCGTCCCAGTCCTTCCAATCCCTGGCCTGTGGATCACATCTGATTTTTTAGCAGCTAAGAAAATATTTGTACCAACTCAAGGAGCTGAGGGTTTTGTGGGAAACTTAATAGTTGAAACCAAACATTTAAATAAAGGCCTCCTAAATGCTTTCTTGAGTCCCTAAGTTATCAATGTTCCACAAGGTTTGTTTTTTTTCTTTCCACTACTGAAATTTATTGCCTCAGAAACAGTCTCCTGATTTATGTACACTGTAAGATTTATCCTCAATGCTGAGAAGAATCCTCAACCATTTTGCATTTCCTCAAGAAATAATATATTAAGTGTTCTAAGTCTCTAGGTACTTGGGTCTCCACATTTTTGGGCTATGTTTTGGCTTAAAATGCTGCCAGCCAGTCTTTTCAATGTTGTTTGAGGGATAGGACAAAGAGCAGAGTTGCTGTATTACTTAATGCCAATTTAAAAAAAAATATAGTAAACTCCTTTACTGTCCTGACTTGTGCTTTGAAATACCATGAAAACACATCAGTAGCCCAGAAACAGGTTTTCCTTTTACTGCGGTTCGTGTAGAAGCCGTAAGCAGGCTGATACGTAGGCATACTTACAATAGACTCTGTTGCCTGGGGAGGGAAACTGCCGTTACCAAAATACATTCAAGTACATGCTGTAATCTAAAGATGTGTAACATTTTGTATTAATAAAATGGAAACATTGAGAATTTTACAAGAGGCAAGTATTTTCTTGGATTAATTTCTTCAATGAAATGAAAACACTGCTCTTCAGTTCCCTGAAAACAAATTATTTAATTTAGTACATGCTTAGTCACAAAAGCATCCAAATAATTTCTTAAAAGTATTGCTTGTATAACATTTAAGCTAAAAATATGGTATGTGAACAATGAGAATTCTATCATGAACACTGTACAAACAAAATAGATGTTCACTATTTTAATCAGATCCTGAACTCTCAGAAACATCGAGATTAAAAATGTCCTTAATTTTGTCATAAAGAACTAGCACTAAGGCTCCTCCTGTCCCACGAAGGATGTTGGAGAACGCTCCACGGAAGAATGCATTAAACCCTTCTTGCTCGTATATTTTGATAAAGCAGTCGACGCTTCCTTTATATTGGCGTTCAGTCTCCCCGCTCTGCGCACAAATAATAAGGACAAATCATTAGTGCACTGCACTGAGAAAGAAATGTAGATCCTCAGCAAAATTTGTCTGCCTTCAGTAAAGAACACTAAGGAACTTCTTCCTAATGTTTCACTTACAGCAAAGGAGTGATCTTTTACTAATAAATATTTATCTGACATAATGCTCTGTTAGCTGGTTCCAATAGCTAAATTTAGAAAGGCTGTGATCCTTCTTCTGACGCTTCTTTTAAGCTTTACTGGGCAAGTAGAAGGCTTAGGAATTAAATGAGGTCACTCCAGTCCTAAGGGTGCTCTCAGTTGTTTCAATGCTATTAAAACTTCCACAGCTCTTTTTTTTTTTTTTTCCTTCTTTAGTAGAACCAAAATATTTTTATACCAAGTAGATTTCAGTTCACTGGTAATCAGCAGAGTCCATCCAGCAGCTATTTTCCAAAGAGAGTCTAAAAAATGTTAAGGTCTTGACTAGTACGATAATGTAAAAACACAGGAGGGCTAAGAAGGAGCGCAGTGCAGTTTTCATCTAGCCCACCTTGTTTCTGAGCATTAATTTGCTTGACAAACAAAAACAAAGCAAAAAGGAGGATTTGTTAGTTACAGACCTCAGCACCATGTTCGCTAAAACTTGCTTTGAGCGCTTACAGGTGAAGGAAATAAAGGATGCCAAGCAGTGAATGTTCACATGCGCGCATATCACCATTTCTGTACAAGACAGAGCTCAAGTCCAGAACTCTCCCTTCGGCTTTTCCAAGTGCAGTATGACTGAAAACCATGGCAACTCCTTTAAGTTTTGAAAATTTCACCAGCAGAATAGAGACAGCCCAGAGGAACGTGAGACAGCAGAGCACTTGGGAAATACTCCTGCCCACTGTGGAACTCAGCACAATGACGACAGTAAATCTCTCAGAGCCTCTGAGTAACACCACAGCTCTGGCAAAGCGGGTTTTTTGTAGATGTGCTTGGTGAACTATCAAACAATTCCTGGTTTGGAACTGCAATCTCTTCAGGACTTGTGGAGTGTTTTAGGAACTGACGCTGGGTTTTGTCTTCACTAGCAAAAACCAAGTACACTTTTTTTGCAGAGATTAATCCAAAATCCCTATCTTTATGTGAAATTCTACTGGAAAGAAGACACTAGTTTTTTCACTTGATGTTGAAGATTTAACTTAAATTAGCTACATCTTAAGTTAAATCTACCTGCAATATCAAGGAAAGGTTCTAGACTCTCTATAATGGCAGAAAGATAATCTTGCCTACTTCAGGCCTTTGTGGTATACTCTGCAGCTAATGCAGTGAAGTTTGAATTTTCTGATGAAGACAGTGTCACATTTTGTTACATCTTGTTAGGAGTCAAGGTCACTATAGATTTCCTTCCTGAATACAATAAATGCAGGAAATAAATCTATGATAAATATTCACATAAATCAATATAAATAACTGCAGTAACACAGCTAAAAGGCATTTAAAATATTTTGGTTTGAAATGACATGAATATATGCAAATGAAAGGGTATTTGGTTATTACTGCTTAGCTGACAAATCAACTTTACTGAAAGCAGTTAACTGTACTGTGCTCATTATTTCAGAAAGTTATCCCATCTGGTAAATATAATTTTAACTGAAGAAATAAAAGGTGCTGTATTTAATTCAGGGCTTCCTCTTGGATCACAATAAGCATCACAATAAGAAATCGATAAAAATCATACTAATTAGCTTTATTTACTTCAAATAGCTTCAAAACTACATGAATGAAACAAGGACACCACATGAAATACATTTACAGATCCAAAACATATATATGTCCTCTCATTCTCATCTTCTGTGCTAGTAAACCCACTACCTTATTTCATGGGATTATAATTTATGTTTTTAATCATCTTGATACTAGTCTCTATCCTTGTGGGAAGTTAATTACCAGACACACAGGCAATTCTTTGGTGAGGCCTGAAGAAGCACAGGACGTATGAATAAAGGCAGCCTTCCTTGAATGTAGTCCTACTGCTGATTAAGCAGATAAAAGCCAAATCTGAAGACAGTGAAATCATATTTAGTCTGAAAGGAAGCAGTGAGTAGCACTAATGGTGTTTGCCCACTGTAAGCTTCAATGTTGCTGTTACTCAGGACCGATTACCAGAGGTATGGCAGGCATTACAAAAGAATCAAAGTATCCCCTGGGATTTTTCTGAAAGCATCAAAGCAAGTTCTATGCTGACATTTATTCTCATTTTCTTCTGACTTTCTGGAATACCAAGAGAAAAGATGATACTCTTGAAACACAACGTAGAGACACTTTTTTGCATCTAACAACTCCTTTCTATTATCAGATGGCAAAACTTCCTCAGGGATGTAGGGAACAAGGTCTTGACTTTTCAAGAGCATTTCTGTGGTTTTTTTTTTAATTTTGTGTTTGAGGATGATCTTCATAGCAAGAGTTTCTATTATTACATGTACTTCAAATGCTGCTGAACTACCTAGTAAAATTACGTAGTAGCTAGCAACAAGATCCAACATTAATTGCTAATAACACACTATCATATCCATGCCATACCTAGAAATAATTCTCAGCTTGTACTGAACTTTGAAGATCACTGATTCTACTTCACACAAGCACATCTGTGAGCTGTGTGCCACAAATACTATTTTGCTAACTGCTTAGCTAGGCTAATAAAGGATACTGTTCTACCCACAAACCAGTCTTGCTCCAAATATCTGGCTTCTGAGTAGAAAACAGATCCTGGTTTTCTACTAAAAGCTCTCACCAATCTGTGAATTTTTACCAGGCTCCTACAGTAATATTATTTCATTTTTCTTCTTGTCTTTCTGGAGATTTTTCCACTTTATTTCTGAATAGAGTCTCGCCTGCTGTAAGGCTATACAGCGCTTCAATTAGCACATCTTCAATTAGCAACTTCAAAAATCTCAGAAGTAATTTTCAGAAAAGGATTGCGAGCTAGATCATACCTGCATCATCATGCGTCTCCTGACAGTGTCAAAAGGATAAGACAGAATTCCTGAGAATGTAGTCACAACTTGAGCAATGAAAAAGGAAAGAATGAATGGAGTTTGTTTTGGATTTGGCAATAATCCCTGCAAAACAAAACAAAAATGGAAGCCTGTACAAATTCTGTAGAATGTATGTACAATCCAGAAGATATCAATTGTAGTTTTGATAATTTGTTGTTAATCCTACTGTAAAATGACTTGGCTCTTCAATAATATACTCTGTTGAGCACAAGTAGCTGTAAAGACAAAAGCTGTAACTTACACCCTCATTAGTTCATAATAAACATTTCAAATATCATGATAAATATTTAAAATGTGTGCACTTTTGTTTGTGAAACCTACCTTTATGGTGTCATAACATCCAAAATAGGAGGCTCGGTATACAATGATTCCCTGTACTGAAACACCAAATCCCTGGTACAGGCCAGGAAGTCCATCTGCTTTTGTGATTTTAATGATACAGTCACCAAGTCCCTGGAACTGTCGCTCAGCAGCACCTGATACAAAAGAAATTTATGCACATTGTTATGCTTTACAGAAGCCCTTCTCATTAGTACAAACTATTCTGCATGACTGAAACACTTAACATTATCAAAATTATATGAAAAATGTAGTAGATCATTGCTTCCTCCACTTACGAACAAAGCATAAAGAAGAAATTGAGACACATGAATGAAGACAGTTTATTTAGATAGTGGTATCCAGTTGCTGAAGCTCTTTCAGATCAATTAACTACCATTCCAATTTTGTCCTCATTCAGCAGAATGCTTAAGTATGAATTCTCTTACCCTCTCTCTGAAAAGAATTTTTTCTACCTAATACCATGCTTTTACTTCCTCTCCACAGATTCTTACTCAAATTTATCGTAAGCATTACTCAATTTCAGCTTTTCCCTATAGTGGAACACTAGCCACAAGCTGTGCAAAGTTAAAACCCCCACTTTTCATATCCATAGATTCTTCATCTGTTTCTACATTCCGCATATAACTACATCCAAGCTCTTAGGATTCGCTACAGGTGAAAACATGGCAAGCAATACATCTGTCTTTGAAGGAAGAACTACAAACTGTACACCATCTTATACTGAAGGTATCATGAAAATATTGATTTGGCCCAAGTACAGAGCACAGAAAGCAACAGGTAAAGTCAAGCAGCCAATTCCTGGGATGACCCTGCACAGCACAGACAGTAACTAGAGTTAACCTGTCCCACTGCAGAAAATCAGGAAAGCCAACAACAATGCAGAAAGTAGAGATTTCTTCTTCTCTGCTGCAAAGCCTTCCCAGAGCTGTTTTTGGGAAATTAATTTTATCTATTTGAATGAAACCTCTATCTAGAGACATATACTACCCAAAATCTTTGTTGAAAATCTTCAGTTGATATTCTTGATATAGAACAAGAATGATCATTAGCTCTTTAAATGAGACCCCATAAAACCATAGGTGAGTAAAAATTAAACTCTTCTAGTCTCTGGCATCCAAAGTTGGCAAAATTCAGTTCAACTTCTCCATACAGAATCTAAAAATAACGCAAAACTTTGAGAACTATACTGTGGCACTGTTTCCAAAGAATCCTCTTTCGCTCACCTTCATCCTCTCCTTTTCAATAAGGATCTTACATTTTTTAATACTTTTAAGTTTGTAATTGGTCAATGGCAAATTTTTAAGTAACAGAAAGAATTCTAATGCTGTTGAGTATTGGTCTACCTCTAAAATGAAGTAAATAAAAACAACCTGAGGCACATCAGATAAAACTGGAACTACCTTTCCCAGTATCAGCAGCTAAACGAGTTCGTGCAAAGTCTAGCGGGTACACTACACACAAGGATGTTGCTCCTGCTGCTCCGCCAGAAGCCAGGTTTGCCAAAAACCATTTCCAGAACTGAAACACAAAAATTGTTGTATGCAGTTATGAAAATACAGCATTACAATACTGTAATACTGACCTTTGTTGTAGATACTAAATGAAACTTTAAAAGCATGAAGAGTAAGATCTAAAACACTGTATTATTTAAAAAAAAAATAAAGAAACAAGCCAGTCTCAGTGTAAGACCTGTACTGGGATATTTCAAAATTTCCCCTTGTAAAGATTACCCACCTATTCTTACATTTCTTAAAAAAAATCTTTATAAGCTATTTTCTTTTTCAACTCCTGAACTATATGGTGCTCTTGTGACCCAGATAGCAGATAATATCTTTCTCATCTGCAGTCACCCAGCCCTCCGTAACAATCAGCCTGTGGATGTCCCTGACACAATAATTGTGCATCAACTCTCCATGGTGGAGAAACAGGGAAATATAAAAATCAGTGTACTTACTTTCACTGTGGCACATACTGTTTGCCTAATAAGAAAAAGCTAATCACAGTAGAAGAAACGTTTTGCATAACATTTTTAGGTGGTGATATTTGACAGCTCTGTTGACTTAAATGACATCGCAGGTGTATCTTGTATAGTAAATGCAGACCACATAGTTGTACCCAAAATCACTTTTTATTTGCTGGTTCAGTAACAGCAAGGCTGTAGCTGTAGTAGCATGGAGTCCGGCATAGCTTAACTGCCCCAATATTTTATTAGTTGTACAGATGGCTTTGCGACCTGCCCTAACACACGTTGCTGCATGAACTGTTGCTAGTTGTAGTAGCAAGCAGGAGAGGGAGCAGCTACGATCTGAAGATGCTTGACTGTGCCAGTATGACCTTCAATACCAAGTGTCTGGCACATAGATATAGCCTGTCTTCTTCAACAGAAGTTCCTTTGCACTTTACAGTCTAAATGTTTTAGTAAGTATTATTTTTTTAAAGATAATCCAGCTAAGCAAAGCCTAATGCATGTAACCATATTGTCTTCCCCATCTCCTATCCTGCACAAAACATAAGAAAGCATCCAAAGACCCTGAGCTTCGACAATGGATATAAAACATAAGAAAACATCCAAAGACCCTGAGCTTCGACAATGGATATGCTACTTTGCTAAATACCATACTACTAAAAAAAATTAATCTTGAGTGCTATTCATGGAATGTCACAAGCTCGTACACATGTAAGCCATCTGGAAACACTTCTAGGAGACAGAAAGGAGATTTTAAGAACTATAAACACTGTGTTACTTAGATCATGCATGTTTCACTTTTTCCACCTTAAGAAAAGAAAGAAAACAGCAACCTTAAACTCTTTACGTACAAAATGACTGTAATTGAAAAAGGACTGCTTAAGAATTTGCATGCAATACAAGGACATTAATCAAACTTTAATGACTGACAGCATTCCTCCTGGTCAGCACCATCAGAAAAGCCTGTGGCAAGAAAAGTTTCTGGCACTGCAGTAAAAAACTGTCAACTCAAGAAAGCACAGAACACTGCATTTTTGTTTAAATTATCAAAACCTAACCAAAGAAATCCTAAAACAGATAAGCTAAGACAGACACAAATAAAGCAGATTTTCCAACTATTTTCACAAGAAACAAATTAGGTATGAAGAACTTATTTTCCATTTTGCTGATATGAATGCATTTTATGTAATTTGTCAAGTGCCAACATCAACATCTCGCATTCTAAGACCAAGATTTCTTGTAATTAATTCCATGGGTGTAGACCTCTCTGTCTTTCAAGAATCCCTCCACATTAAGGGACTTTTCCCAAGTACACAGAATTGCAAGGTAAGGAAGCACAACCCAAAAGTTTAATTGCCTTTTGGAACTATAAACTAAAACTGCTCTTTTTCTGGCACATGGTACAATACTAAGTTCTTAAAATGCTTTAACTATTGATAAGTACATTTCTAGGTTTACATGTAGCAAGAAATCAGTTTTTAGTGTGAAGCATTGCTTATCTACAGCAGTAATACACACTTTACCATCTGTAAGTTTTTTCTGACACTTATGTACTAATAATTATCAAGAAAATAATGTCAAAAAAAAAGACAAGACTCCTACTTGAGGGACTCAACCCAAGAACTTCACACATTAGAATAAAAGCAGTTGTAATTTCACACAAGTGAAATTATGAACATAAAGGTTTTTGAGACTAGAGTACGTGTTAATGCAACCCTAACTGTGAGAATGTAATTGGGGTTTTTGACAAAGCCCAGAACCACAGGTGTCCCGAGTCCAAGATTTTTAATATCCATCTTAACACTTGCATCAATTAACTCCAAAATAACTGCGTATCCTGAATAAAACTTTAAAAATTCTGACTGCAGTTATAAGCATGTATATCACAGTGTCATTAATCATTAAAGATCAAACCCCAAATTTCATTACCTTCAAAATAAGCTACACAGTAAACTGCGCTTGCTGCTCTTCTTAAAAAGAAAAAAAAGCTCATTACAAAATCTTACCAATATACTACCACTAATAACCAACTATTCTGAGAGGAAGAATTGCACAGCTCTTGACCAGATCTAGTTTGTTTAGTAAACAGAACTAATATGCAAGAGATTATTTACCTGTTTTTCTTTATCCACTTTGGACATGAAAATCTGTTTGTATTTGTCCTTAAAAGCAAAATTTAGAGCCTGTGTTGGGAAATATCGTATAACATTTGCCAAATTGCCACGCCAAAAGCTGAAAAACCCTACGGAAAAAAGAAACAGATCTTTAGAAGAACATTTCCAAAGTTTATACTACACCAAATGTATTATACAACATTCCTTCTATTGTTTCTATGGAAAGTACCAAAGTTGGGCTATAATGTTCCAAAAATGTTCCTTTTCAGGTCCTTTATTTTTCATGCATTTGGCACTAGAAATCTGCATTTATTCCGACACCAACAGATGTATGCATTCAGTGTTAGCACAAGAACATCTAAAACTGTGAGTGAAACATCAATAATGCTGAGAAATAGATAAGATTTTCAACTTCCCTACTTCATACATTTCTAAGACCAGGGATATGTATGTAAACTACAGAACAGAACAGTATTTCACAGAACAGTATAGAAATTGTGTTCCTGAAGCAGCCTATGCATTTTTGCTTCCATAGGGGGTGCTCACTCTCCATATTAAAGCAACGACAAACATCTTATACAAGTATCATAAACTTGGTAGCGCTTTTGTAATTATATTCTTCTAAATTAATGAAAAGATCCCTTTGGACACCAAGATAAATGAGTAAGAAGATAAATGGAGCTGAGGAGGTAGTACAGGAACAAATCTTATGTGGATTATGAGGGGGAAAAAAAAAAGTCTATTTAAGATGTTCACAGGCTGGCTGGCCATGTTAGATTTGTGCTGAACAGCGACAACAAAGTTGATCTTTGTAATGCAAAGCCATGCTCTTCATTCAAACTTAACTTTCTTGTGTTACTGTAGGTGAAGGCAAAGGCTCTTTAAGACAAAGAAAACTCAAAACTATGTTTTCATCTGCTACTTTGATCATGCTTTCCTATACATTAACATGACGCCAATTAAATGCTGCTTCAGTAAAGCTATTAAAAGGCAAACTTTAAAGGTATTCTACACTGTCCACAAATACCAATGCACCTGATATTGCTACTACCAAATGAACAAAACCAATCCTGGAGGCCCGTACCCAGCAGTAACCCTCTCCTCGCCTGTATCCCCACTCCTTTGACTGCCTGGGCCCACGATAGATACTGCTCCATCACTGTCGCTTCAAAGACGTTTCTAAAAGCCTTTGTTTTTACAAGGTTTGGGAGAGGGCAGGGGACCAGGCAGAGGAGCGGCCCGGGGTGCTTACCTTGCTCCCTGGGGATGCGCATGAAGCAGTCCGCCATGCTCTTGTACTGCTGGTCCGCCCGGATCTGCTTGGACGAGGCTTGCACCTGCAGCAACAGCTTCACCCGCTCGATGGGCGCCACCACCGTCTTAGAGATGGCGGCCGCCACCCCGCCGGCCCGCAGGTCCCTCCCGCAAACGTACAAGTCCTTGCCCTGTGGGGCTGCCATGGCGCACGGCCCTGCCCTAGCCTCCCCCCCCTCCCGGTTCTTCCCCTTCCCGAAAAGAACGCAGCCAGCAGGCACCTAACTACCGCCTTTTCCCCTCAAAAATCGGTGCTCTCGGGGTATCCTGGAGCTGAGCTGCCTCCGTTCCCCACCGTTACCGGCCGCAAGGGGCCGCCCAGTCACCGCGCCATTCGCTTCTACTACGTGGATGTCTTCCACCCTCCGTGAGGGGCAGGCGGCAAAACTACCAGAGAGCTCAGGAACTTTCCAGAAGCTTTCGGCAGCTCTGGAAACTGGCTCCTCTGTCCCGGCCAGCAACTAGAGAATAGAGAAAGGCGATGGGGTCGTACAAGTCCTTGCCCTGCGGGGCTGCCATGGCGCACGGCCCCGCCCTAGCCTCCCCCCCCTCCCGGTTGTTCCTCTTCCCGAAAAGAACGCAGCCAGCAGGCACCTAACTACCGCCTTTTCCCCTCAAAAATCGGTGCTCTCGGGGTATCCTGGAGCTGAGCTGCCTCCGTTCCCCACCGTTACCGGCCGCAAGGGGCCGCCCAGTCACCGCGCCATTCGCTTCTACTACGTGGATGTCTTCCACCCTCCGTGAGGGGCAGGGGGCAAAACTACCAG